TTTGTGGTTTGCGACAATTTCGCACATCGTAACGTTTTCGCACGAAAATTATGCAAACAAAGTTATCGCTAAATTTACGATCGACGGGGTAACTTCGTTTGCGGTTGCTGTGGTGGCAATTTAAATGGATGGGAGTGAATTGAAATTAAAGTAGCGCGCCTCGAAGATTAATAATTTTAAATAAAACGTCCGCCGCAGAAGTAAAACGCGTAAAACCACGCCCTTTGCACGTTTTTAATGGATACAAATATAATTTTAATTGGGCCTCGACTAAATGGAATATGCAAATGTGAAGAGGTAGAAAGAAAAAGTACACCTCAATTAACCAAAAGAGTTTGTGTGGTTTACGGTTTTTAATTAAAAACTTTCTGGGAACCACTAAAGATGTAAATTGTAAGAATCTTTATAACCCTAATTAGATAATAATAAAAATATTGCGACAAAGAAAAACAAATCGAAAGCGGGTTAGAAACCTTGTACACGCAGCTTTTATTATCGTTCACCCCCCAAGTTATGGTTTAGCGCCGCGCGGAAATCCGAGCTTTACGACGCATTCGCCATCCCCAATTCCGAATGGTACGTAGAGCTTTCAACCCCCCTTGGATATCACCCCAGACGACGCCGTTCGTTATTCGATTAAACAACAACGAGCTCCGACAACACTCGAAACACATATCGCGAAAATGCAAATGCACTTAAGGGGTGGATAATGGACCTGAAATTTTTGTTGATTTCGTTTAAACAATTACGAACTTATCCATTTATTTCGCTTCCTTTATTCGTAATTTAACTCAAATCGATACGATTATTTGCGGTTGACGTGAAGGTCGGTCGGGGTTTAACGATATGAAATGGGCGATATCAGGCGGTGGTGGCGTTTTGTTGAATTTGCGGGCCGACCGTCACTACGATTTAGATCAAGGGCGAGCGTGCGAGACCTAAAAAATCATTAATAACGACCACGTTGGGCTGTGAGCCAACCTTGAAACGGACGAGTTAAGAATATCACGTTTTATGACTTCCCCGCTTATTTTACTATACTCTATTTTTTAATTCGAAGGAGTGTTTTCAAATTGAAACGCCAAAAAGGAAACATACAGTTCTAGTTTTACATGATCACTAGAACTAACACAAGACCTAGAAATAGAAAATATCGGAAACTTTCAACTTCTAGGTCTAGTGTTAGTTCCAGTTCTAGTTAGTTCAATTTCCTGTATCATGGCTGATATTTTTGTGAACAAGTCTGAGGAGACTAACTTACTAACGTCTTTAACAACATTAGTGCGCTTGAATTTACCACTGAATAAGAAAAAGATTCTAAAATTAATTTCTTACGTGTTACTATTTCCAAAAACCTTTCAAGTTCATCACTTAGTTTCAACATATTCCGAAAAGACACAGCCACTGATACGATTATCCCGAAATCCTCCTTCTCCAGTTCACAACATAAATTTGCTTTAATTCATTTCCTCTTCAATAGACTTCTCAATTTTCCCTTACAACATTCTGACTTTATTATCGAACTAAAAAAGATAATCAAGATCAGCTTAAATAACTGTTATTCTCTTAAAAAAAATCAAAACATATTATATAATAAAACCCAGAATAATATTACCAATAAAATCATCTTATTTTTCAAGAATTAACGAAAAACTTAAATTTGTTACTATTCCTTTTCATCCTAACTTACAAAACTCTTTCACCCATATTTTTAAATCTCATAAAATTACTCCTGTATTTTCTGCCAGTAATAAATTGGGTCAATTGCTTGTTAACAATAAACATAAATTTGATCGTAACCTTAAAAGTGGCATTTATAAACTTAATTATGAAGACTCCGCTTTTTTCAAACATTTAACCGAGACAGGACAAAAGATGGATCTTTATGAAGAGTATTTTATTAGATCATACAACAAATCTAATCCAAATCTTTTAATTAATGATTATACGAATTTCTTAAAAACCTAGAACTAGAATCATTTGGGTTTAGCCGCACGTCTCTAAAGACGGCTAAACCCGAATGATTCTAGTTCCAGGTCTAGTGTTAGTTCCAGATTTACACAGCACTATTACTATGTAGAACTAAAAAAATAAATTAAAATAATGAAATGGAAAGTTGTCTATAAACTTCTAATTATTCAAAAAATGGAATTTATTGATGATTTTGGTTCAAAATGGTTTCAATATCTCTTTGATACATAAATAATAAATGATGATTAAATTGAAGAAAGAATTTTGGTGGGTTTAGAAAGTGTTTTCCAGTTATCGGTCTAGTGATAGTTGTAGTGGCAGTATTTTTATTAAACTAAAACTAGAAACATTCGTGAAAAAAATTTTCAGTTGTCAATGTCAACTTTAATTTTATTATTATATTCGTAATATTCATAAAAAAACCTTTAAAATGAGCCCAAACATGACGCACTTATCTCAAAAAACAAAAAAGTTAGAATAAAAAACATTAAACCCGAAGTTAGCAACAATGAAGATAGCAATTTAATTTTTAAATATTAATACCAACCTTAATTTTTGATTTTTTTTTATTATATTATTGTTTTTGTGACAAATATTAAGACATTTTATAAAAATTAAGAATATGTCAAAATGACATTGACATTCTTAACCGGAAGTTGACCATAACTCCATTAATATTGAATATAAATATGTCGTGTTTGTACTCATTTTAAAGGATTTTTAATGAAGACTACAAATATGTCAACATTGAGGTTGACATTTTAAACCTGAAATTAGTTAATCTAGTGTTAGTCACTTTTCCGCACTTTCTTTTTATTTTTAACGTCGATTTTTAAGCCGTATGATGATTCTTGAATTTTCACTGGAATAACACTAGACATACAACTTATCATGCATCATTTTAAAGCAGACTTTAAGCTTTAAATTGAATCAGTAGATAAGTCTTTTAAGATAACACAAGATAATTAATGTTTATTTAGACGAAAATTAAAATTTGACATTTAGATGTTATTTTTGACATTTCGCTCACCCCCATCTAGCGTCAATTTTTTAATTTATTTCTTATTTTTTTTCTAAAAAACTTTGATTCAATAAATTATATTGTTTGAAAATAAAAAGGAAACAAAATCAATCGTTGTTTAGGAGAAAATTTCAAATTTTTACATTTAATTTTTATTTAAATCTTAAAAAGCTCTTTTTTACACTAGCGCCATCTAACGTTAATCACCTACGTTAATCATATTTGACATTTTAAAACCGTCGTTTTACTTCTTGCTAATATTATCGAGTTTTATTGAAAAAATAAGCTCAAATGAAACGAAAAAAACATCAAAATACGTTTTTAGACTCCCAAAATGTTAATTTAAAGTGCGTATAGATTCCAGTAAGTTATTTTTTTCCTTTAAATTACTTAATAAGTTTGATCGAAAACATAACCTAACTTTTTTAAAGGAATTGAAAATTATTGGAGATTTAAGAAAATCGATTTGATTTATTAAATGGAAAAAATGGTAAGCAATTAATTTAAAATCATTAATTAACCCAGTAATTGATAATTTTTATTTAAAAATTTTAAATAAGCAAACTTAAATAAAAAAGATCCCTTTTTACACTCGCGCCATCTAGTGTTAATCACCCACGTTAAATCATCTTTGACAACATAATTGAAAATTATTGAAGATTTAAGAAAATCGATTTGATCTATTAAACGAAAAAAATGGTAAGTAATTAATTTAAAATCATTAATTAACCCCGTAATTTATAATATTTATTACATCTCTCAAGACGGCTAAACCCGAATGTTTCTAGGTCTAGTGTTAGTTCTAGTTTTAATTGTTATGCAGCGCTAGACCAAGAACTAGAATCATTTGGGTTTAGCCGCACGTCTCTAAAGACGGCTAAACCCAAATGTTTCTAGTTCTAGGCCTTGTGTTAGTTCTACAGATAGTGCTAGTATAAAGCTAGAACTAACACTAAACCGAGAACTAGAAACATTCGGGTTTAGCCGCACGTCTCTCAAGACGGCTAAACCCGAATGATTCTAGTTCTAGATCTTGAGTTAGTTCTAGTGATAGTGATACTGTAAAATTAGAACTAACACGAGACTAGTTAGTTCTAGTTTTAGTTCAATAAAAATATGCACCATAGTGATATATCATTTATTATATTGACATATTGCATCATTTTATGTGGGACAAAGTAAGTAGCGGCTTTTATTATGTTTAATCAAATAAGTAATTAAATTCGTAACTACAGTTTACTTAAAATCGTCTCTGGTTTTAAAACTCCCGTCAAAAAATAGCTTTGAAAAATTACACTGTGTAAAAGTGACTTTTCATTTTACTCCTCTGAATTAAAAAATAGAGTATACAAATTCACTTCACCACCCTCAATCTAAAATCGAATCCGACTCGATTCACTTAAATATATATTTTAGTATTGAAATTAATAATAATGATTATTTTAGTTTTGAAGAATTTCCTGTAGCGTTGTTGTTTTCAGTGTAAATAGGGCATAAATTTGTTAAGCCGGATTCGCGAGGCGTATATCTTGTTTTGAGTCGATACAGCGACGCCCCGATAAATCAACGAACTTCTACGGCGAGTTTTCCTCGTTCACAAAGAAACCGAAAAGACCGAGCTTTTCAATCACGAGCGCATTCGCCACACCGCCCACAAAAAAAGGGGGGAAAAGGGGACGGTCAGCATTCGCAAAGAGAAAACGACCAAGGAAAAAATTGAGTTCGAAATTGCAAGCAACATTGCACGGTTTAATACGGTTTCAATTCAACTATACAAATTTAGTTTGCTAGGTTCGCATACCTAGTTTGCAATCAAAAATTTCCATTAACACAACAAGAAGTAAAAAAAAATCATTCATATCGCGCAAAAATGGTGGAGGCGCCGGAAAATTAAAATTTAAAACGGTCTAAAATGAAATTTATACATATTTTTATCAAGAGTGTTTACAGTTGAGGAAACATTTAAAAAGGGGGGAAAATATAACTTTTAATATTTGCTTACCTCGCTGTCATTTTGATGTAATTCCAAGACGTATCCGGGCAAAAGATCCTTTCGTTTGTTGACATCTTCTAAGGCCATGTGAGCAGCCGGCATACAGGCTTGGCCCCCTTGCCACCCTCCTTGGCCCATAATGGGGAATATACCTCCGATATGAAGCACGTGCGCGTCGTTTTGCCTCGGAAGGACGAACGCCAAACGATACAAAAACACCACCACCACACATTGTAACCGGTACTGAATCAAAAATAAACAAAGATTTTTCAGTTAATTATTAAAATAAACAAGATCAATAATAAATAGAAAATTTAGAAAGTTAATAATCATATTTTATAGAAGCTTTAGATACCTGAATGAATAATACCCAGTCTTACAAAATTTATAGCCCAGCATAATCAAGCTATGCGTAGTGATATACAAATAACTATTATATACTGAGACAAGCAACTTTTATCATTTCTGGGTAATAGATATAGAAGCCGAGGTCGCTTCCGAACGAGGCAGAACATTTGAGACATTTTATACTCATACACATAGCTATTATATACTGAGGCAAACAAGTTTTCTCATTTTTTGATAGTAGAATAAAAGCCGAGGTCGCTTGCGGCCGAGGCAGAACATTTGAGACATTCTGTACTCATACACATAGCTATTATATACTAAGGCAAAAAAGTTTTCTAATTTTTTGATAATTTAATGATAGCCGATGTCGCTTGCGGCCGAGCTAGAACATTGCGACCATCTCTACTCATACAAATAACTATTGTATACTGAGGCAAGCAATTTTAATCATTTCTGGGCAATACATACAGAAGCCGAGGTCGCTTGCGGCCGAGGCAGAACATTTGAGACATTCTGTACTCATACACATAGCTATTATATACTGAGGTAAACAAGTTTTCTCATTTCTTGGCAATAGAATAAAAACCGAGGTCGCTTGCGGCCGAGGTAGAACATTGCGACCATCTCTACTTATACAAATAACTATTATATACTGAGGCAAGCAATTTTAATCATTTCTGGGCGATAGATACAGAAGCCGAGGTCGCTTGCGGCCGAGGCAGAACATTTGAGACATTCTGTACTCATACACATAGCTATTATATACTAAGGCAAAAAAGTTTTCTAATTTTTTGATAATTTAATGATAGCCGATGTCGCTTACGGCCGAGCTAGAACATTGCGACTATCTCTACCCATACAAATAACTATTATATACTGAGGCAAGCAACTTTTATCATTTCTGGTCAATAGATATAGAAGCCGAGGTGGCTTGCGGCCGAGGTAGAACATTGCGACCATATCTACTCATACAAATAACTATTATATACTGAGATAAGCAACTTTTATCATTTCTGGGCAATAGATATAGAAGCCGAGGTAGCTTGCGGCTGAGGTAGAACATTGCTACCATCTCTACTCATACAAATAACTATTATATACTGAAATAAGCAACTTTTATCATTTCTGGGCAATAGTTATAGAAGCCGAGGTCGCTTGCGGCCGAGGCAGAACTTTTACGGCATTCTGTACTCATACACATAATTATTACATACTAAGGCAACCAAGTTTTATCATTTCTTGGTAATAGAATACAAGCCGAGATTGCTTGTGGCCGGAGCATAGCATTTGCGACCATCCCTACTCATACAAATAACTTTTATGATTTCTGGGCACTAGATATAGAAGCCGCAGAGGAGGAATGGTTATACAAAGTGGTTCAAAAATTGTCCCCACTAAAAGAAGTCCAAAACGGTTAAATCGGACGATTTTGCCGGCCAGTGCAAATCACCAAACGCGAGATAAGGCGACCCGGAAATGTAGCCAAATAATTTATAATTTCGGTTATGGCTCGTGTAGTTTGCGCCATTGCTCCATCCTATTGGAACCACATGTTCTCTATCCAATTGAGGAAGGAGGCAGTCGTTGAGCATGGCCCTGGAACGCTCGCCGTCCATAGTAGCGACATTTGTATCATTTATAAAAATTATAGCATCTTACGATAGGGTGATCAACATTTTATGCCATTAGCTTGGTTTACGATTATTATTTTGAAGAATAACACTACCAAAAAAATGGTTATTTACAAAAATTTTATATCAATAAATTAGTTATACACAAAATTAGTATTTGCCATTTTCAGCTCCATATTCCCCCAGAGCAAACCAGTTAATTGGATATGTTTGCGAAATAAGTTAGTAAAGCACGTACGTAATGCCGCTGTGTAAATATAGATAAATATCCGATTACATGTAGATCCTGTTTGCCATGGTCTCGTATTTAGTACGCAACGTCCAAACAGTTCATGGATCATTCCTCGAAACTTTGAACGCTCCACTCCCTCACACTCCACGTACGCTGAATATTAATTACAAACTCTCCTCCATGTTTACACTAAATCATAACATTCCGGCTTATTTAGCAGTTCCTAACCAAAAGTCTCTAATTTTATTAATATCTATAAATCAGGTCGGGGTTTTTTTGGACGTTTTTCCCTCGCCATCTGATACAGTTATTAAGACGGAAATTGATCGAAATTGACTGTTTATTTCCGTTTGATCCCTCTAGGGATAATTTTGTTATTCTTGAAGCTTTATCTTGTTAAGAAAGTTTTCGGTCTAACTTCAAAATAAGTATAAATAAAGATATTCTTATTATCTTGTAACTAAAACATTTTTCCTCGAGAAAATTGAATAAGAAGGTTTAATACCCAAAGCATTAACCCCGTTTATAGCTCCAAGGAATTACAACAGCTTCCTTTACAGCCAATTTAGATTTCTTTCGTTTAAATGGTTTTAACTAAAAACCACGATACCTTTTCGTATACGTTTCAGACAACGTAAACAACCTGTTCGAAAGGGATTTTAAGTAAACACCGATCCTACGACCTTCCCGGAGGAAATGTCATGCGAAATTCTTCCGCAAATATTTGCCAAGCAACGTCTCGTATCGAATTTTAAACCTCGTTATTGCGAATGCGGGACTGCTCCAACGACAAAAAGATGAGAAAAAAAGATATATATCGAAACGAATGAGGTGTTGTGCGAGTATGTGCCGAAGGAACTCTTCCTGTTTGATAAGAACCGCAGAAGAAGGAAGAGGGAGCTCTCTTTTTTAAAGCGATAGAAATCTCGTACGCCTCGGGTGTAACTAGCTGGAAATCGAAAGGATATTGAACCGCCGCCAAAATTGATATTGGAAAGGAAAAAAGGCGACCAAGAATGTGGGGAACATCTGATAATACCCGCAACGAACACGTATTATTACGCCGAGAACCATGGCGAGAGGTGAACGCGACAGCATTACCATTTTTATAGGGGGTGAGATGATGGTAAAATCTGTCAAGGGTAATTTATCGTCTCAAATTCTAAGCTATGAATCATTTTTGACGACGACTTGAGACGACTTCCGGAATCGTTATAATACAAAGAAAAGGTGACATATTTGAGGAGAATCAAAAATAACACTGGTCTAACAGTGGTTTTGTTGCCCTAGATATAAATTGATTTTGGATATATTTATGCTCGCAATTCATGAAACTATCAATGATTTTGTAAATTAAATTAAATTAAATCTATTTTCATTTTACATTACAAAAATCGGAAAACAATAAACAAAATAATAGATATACACTGTGTTAATTAATAATCGTACCCGACGTCATCATTGCAAGTATGCAACCAACATCACAGTATTCGTATGGCAATACGCAAATCGCGTTATTGGTTGCATACTTGCAATGATGACGTCGGGTACGATAATTAATTAACACACTATTTATAATGTCAGTATTGTTTTGAAAAATTAGGATACATCGATGTACAAAACTGTAGTACTGTTATACTACAGTTTTGAAACTCCGATAAATAATGCTTTATTATAAACTAAGAGACGATGAAAGTTTCCGTGGAAAAAAGTCAACTGTTATGTTTCCTGTACCATTGTTATCTTATCTCCAACTTTAAATATTTTCTTCCTAGCAATTAATAAATTTCTGCCCACAAAATGTCAGTTTATTTGATTGTCAAACTGTCAACTAGACGCCTTGTAATGCCCCTAGTGCGACGTCGTCGAAATTTTCTCTCATTCTGAGAGATTGGGAGAAGGCTGAATCGGTACCACACTACAGTTGCTAGGATATGGTCTTTATGGTACGAAGAAGGTGTTCAGAGGCGCCGTCTTGCTGGAAAACCCGAGAAGAAGCAACGCACGTGAAGATCAGCTCCTTAGGCGAATGGTTACCAGGGATCGATTTCAAACAACAAAGTCGATTGCTGTGGACTGGACGAGAGCTTTGAACCGACACTTGCCGATGGCAACTGTTTACAGAAGAATTTCTTCCTTTGGGCTTCATTCATACCGTCCTTACCTTCGGCTTCCATTAACACCTTCCCATAAAGCAGCCAGACTTGCATGGTGTCAAGAACTGCAAGGGTGGATTCATCAATGGAATGACAATGATGAATCAAGGTTTTGTTTATGGGTGAATGATGGTTATAGAATGGTTTGGAGGGCGATATGTGCTTGACGAAGGTCACCCCTTGCGTTCATTACAAGCACATTAAACGCACGTCCTTACATTGAAAACGTTCGGGAACCGGTGTTAGTACCTTTCATGCAGACGTGCCACTTTCCGAGAGGATAATGCAAAACCCCATACTGCTGTGGTCACCGGACTTGTAGCCGATTGAACATGTCTGGAATATGATGGGTCGGCAACTAAAACAAGTACCCAGGTCTCCTGAGAATCTGGATGAACTTCGACACCATCTAGAGGTTGCATGGAACGAGATACCCCAGGAGGATATCGACCACTTAATAGAGAGCATGGGTAGAAGAGTTAATGCATGCATAGCTGTACGTGGGAATGCAACCCACAACTAAAATTGTTAAAAATCTTTTTAAAGACTAGCAGTAATCTCCCATCACCTGACAATCCCATCGACCCTGATACCTTTCCTCCATCACTTTTAGATCCTGGTGGAATCGCTCTCCATGTTCCTCACTATAATTTCCTAAATTATCCGGAAATTTATCTGGATGATTGCGAAGATAGTATAACTTGATACTCATATTTGCACCTAGAGTCTGAAAGTTTTCTGAAATTCCTTCATAATTTGGTGCTTTATGGTTACCTAGGAAATTTTTGACTACCAACACAAAACTTTTCCAAGCTTTACTTTCCGGAGCAGTCATAACTTTAATAAAATCTGTGTTTTTCATCAATTGCCGTATTT